TATATATGCATGTATGCATGTATGTACTTGCGGAAAAGCCTATTTGCCCCCATAATATAAACACGCCGAGGCGGTGAAAAAAGGACGGCAAAATTCAGTGAATGACGTGAAAAAAAGACCGGCCGGACGAAAAATAAAAAAATAAAAAAATAAAAAAACGGCCCACGCCCTCCGGTCCAAAAAATACCGCCACCACCGTCCGTGAAAACACCAAACACAACAATTTTTATCAATTCCGTTATTGTTTTTGTTTTTTTTTTTTATTCGCCGTCCCGGCCATTCCCCCTCTCCCCTCCCCCCCCCCCCCCCAAAAAAAAAAATCACCTTTTTTCTTTTTTTCCTTCATGTACGGAAGTGCCCACCAAATGCACACAGTTGCGTGTGCGTCCTCATAGGGATGCGGAAGGCGACGTGGTGAGGTCCTTGCTGTCGGCCAGTTTCACTCCGTTGCGCAGCAAATCGCCCCTCTGCTTTGAGATGTTGTCTGGAAACACGGCCCGAGTGGCGTCTTCGAGCACAACGACATCAAACATCTCCTTCACGGCGTCCAGTGCTGTGTAATAGACGCAGAAGTCGAAGGCCACACCACAGATGAAGACACGGCGTACATCCATTTCCCGCAGAAACGTGGCGAGGCCGGTTTTCTTGCCGTTTACGTCGCTAAAGCAGGAATAGCACTCCGCGTCCCTGTCTGCTCCCTTGTGTATCACACAGTCCATGCGGCCAAGCCGCAGTGAAGAATGCAGCTTGGCACCGTCTGTCTCCTGGACACAGTGGGGCGGCCACTGTCCACCGGGTCCTGCAGGTTTGCAGAACGAGGAGTGATCCGGTGGGTGCCAATCCTTTGCCACAGCAATGGTGCGGAATTTGTGCGCCTGGCAGACGTGGTTGATTACAGGGATCACCTCCATCGCCCCAGGGACCGACAGTGCCCCGCATGGACTTACAAAGTCATTTTGCATGTCTACAACGACAAGAGCATCGTGCAGCGGTGAAACGGCAATCAACGACGGACTCTTCGCGGGTCCCGAAGACTCACCCGCACAAAAGTCTTTACCCATCTACTTCCAACCCTTTTCCTTGCAAAGCAACACAGAAAGAAAAAAAGAAAAAGAGGTCCCATAACGTATCCATACACACCTGGGGGAATAAAGAAACAGCCACCGCCTCACAACCGTCAAAAGCAAAACAGCCACCCATGCCGCCGCCCCGTGCAGCACAGCACAGAGAAAAAAATAGGCCCTGAAGAGGCTCATGACGGAAGAGCGGTACCCCTCCGGCATGAACGCCGCCCGCAACGTTGCGCCGCAGGGCAAAAAGAGGCCCAAAACCACCTCGAGCAATGTCATTGCCGTCAATTTGTTGAACTTCCCCCCCCCCCTCCAGTGCAGGCAAGCAGCGACAGGGTCGCCACGGCAAAAAAAAAAAAAAAAAATACGGCACGGGCAGCCAAAATACAGCACACTCGTTTGACAAGTGGAAAAGCAGCCTACCCAAATTCAAAAAAATTATGAGGCATGCAAAAACAATCCCAAGTGGCACAGCACCATTTACCTCCAAAGTGCTGGTGCCTACAAAAAAAAAAAAAAGGCGTACAGGGCGCCCTCAAACAGAGCCTCGACTGCACACCTACGAATGCAATGCAGGCATCACTACACACGGTTCTGGGGGCAGCAAGCAACTGCTGCCAAAGACTGTCTTGTCGGGTTCCATAATTCACTGCCCACGTCGTCAACAAAAAAAAAGGACAGACAATAAGCAAAACGGCGCTGACGTTAAATGGAGCGACGGGGGGCTTACATGTGTCAACGGCCCACTGCGCCACAAGCCCGGAGACAAACGTTATTAAACCATTTCCAACACTAACAAGTGAGAACCTTCCCTCCCCCCACCCAGCGACACTAAATCATAGCCATTTGCGTAATGCTCACTGATCATTCAGCTCTCAAAGACAGACCACAACAACGACGTTGCCACACCGTCCAGCATTCGACCAAAGATCAGCACAGTGAAGCGGCTGAGGTGTTTCGTAACACAGCTGAGTGCGTAAATCACACAGTACAGCCGGCACATGGTCCTTCGACCACACATGTCACCAAATGAGCCAACCCATGCCCCAAGCAGCAACAACGAACCAAATCCAACAGTAAACAAAGCGCCACTTCCGTGACGGCTCAGCCCATAATACCAGTAAAAAAGATGAATTTAAAGTCCTTGCATCCAGTCTGCAGACATGGCCAAAAACTACACCAGCAGAAACTGAACCTAAAACTTCTTAAAGGTGAATCACGAGACTTTGAAGAAGAATGTTGCTTCAATGTATTTGCTGCCACACACGCATATGCCAGTAACCATAGAAAAGAATATCATTACGCCAATAAAAATTTAGTACATATCTTCCATTCGGCGTTTCTTGAAGTATTCTTACTGTTAATATAAAAGTTCAGGGAAAAAAAAAAAAAACAATAAGTTCCCCCCATTCTTCTTCTTTTTCCCGTCTGCTTTTCCTCCACTAGAGAGTAAAAGCGTCAATGTAAACTAAAGGAATAAAACCACTGATGTCATGGCCCCTTTCAATAGCCCCCATATATAAGCGCAGCCATTGAGCAGAAACGCAATACCTCTCTTTTTCCCTCAGTCTCTCTCACACTCTGTGCAAGTTTTCTCCTACAACTGACACCCCACTCACAGTAAGCAACTGTAGTCAGCATGTTGGTCACTAACACGTTAAACAAAATGAACAAACACACACAAAAAAAAAAATAATTGCCGAACCGCCTTCTACAAGAAGCCCGAGGCCCATGCCTCCATAACCCCTTGGGCCCGTCTAACAACGCAAGTAGCAAACGGGCGGTCTAAAGCATTGACACCGCATTCTGCCAAGCGAGTGTACAAGGAAAGACTCCCTGCTGGGATCTCTAACAGCTCCCTTCGTCGACAATAAACACGTCTTTTTCTCTCCCCCTCCCCCACTTCTTTTCCCCCTGGATCATTTACGTCATCCACTGTACTGTTGTGGCTGCTGGTGCTGCTTCCAGTATCGTCTCCTTCCCGCACTGCATAGAGACTGTTGAGTTGTGATAATGGACCGTGTTGCTGCAGTACCTCTGCCTCCGTACGCGACACATCACCTGGCCCAATGGGATTATTACTATTATTGTGAGCACAGACAGTCTGAATAGAACTGGCTCTCAACGGGGTGCCATGACCCGGATGACTCACAGATTTCCTTGGAGTCAATCGTGCTTCACGACCACGTAGGCTGCGCTCCGCAGTCAGACTCGATTTCGTCCCGCCCTGCAAAAACCTCGGTGGGGACGTAGCTGTTATTTTGACAAAATTGTGCTCGTCGAAAGCCGGTGCAGCCACAGGCGAGTTGGAGTGGCTTGGTCTGTTCCCCTCCTCCTCTCGTTCCTCCGAGGAACTCGTGGAAGGCTGCAGCACGCACACCGCAGGCATGCTCGCATGAGTCATGGCATCCATCAGCTGCTGCGTAAATTCTTCAATCTGTCGAGAGCTATGCCGCAAGGCAGGGGTCGCAGCATTAGTGGCCGAAGCCAAAGCTGTTGCCGTAGCTGCCACTCGCCTCTGTCTTTTTGACCGCCCGGCCACCATCGCCCTCAATGATGGTGTTCCTGCCGTCTCACTTTACTTCTCCGGCCGCTACCACCTCCCAACAAAAAAAAACAGCAGCAGCTCCCACCTCAAACGTTTTTTTCCCCCCTCTTTTCTTCTTTCTTCGGTCCTCGCGCCTGCTCTTTCTTCTTCCACGCGTGTCCCACGGCAAAAAAAAAAAATAATAATAAAGGGAAGAAGCGTAGGAAGAGAGAAAAAAATGGGTGGGTGAGCATGAAACTCCGTCCTCTCAGCAGTGATCCATTCAAGTAGATAACCAGACAGTAGTGGTTGGAGCAAAAGGCAGTGCGGCCTTCCGTCACTTTAGTCGTCCACCACGCACGCACACGCACACACGCACAGAAACCAATATACATCAAGAAAAAAAAAAAGAATTTGTCCACATCAATCCATGCTTTTCAGCAACAGGTCCAGCTTTTCTTGTAAACTCTCCAGCGTAGCCCTCTTCAACGCCAGCTGCTCCATCCCGCGCCGCGAAGCCTCGTCAATCCTTCGTCTTGTTTGCTCAATGTGGGTGTGCAGGCTTTGAATGACTTGGAACTGCAAAAACAACTCCTCGTGCAGATTCTCATTCCGTACTGCCTCCAGTTTTACAAGCCGATAAAACGATATCTTTTCACGAAGTGCCGCACGGCGCATGCCGCTCATGTACTCTGAAAAAATTCGCCGACGCTGCCTTTGCTCCGCAGTCACCAACTTCCGCAGCATCGCCGTGGACGGCTCCGATGTTGCCTCGGCTGTCGTCACTGCCGGCGCAACCCCTCCTGGCCCCTCCTTTATCACCCCAGTCTCTCCCCGTCCCTCAAAGTATTCCGACTGCTCCTTCATCAGCTGCTGCATCACCCCCAAGTAGTACTCATGAACGTGCTCCGCGTTTAAATCCAGCGCGGCCTCCTCTTCCTCCTTATCCCACCACCACCGACTGCGCCGATACGAGGAGGCTGTTACTCCCGTCTCACCCTTGTTGAAGCGACTGTTGGTAGGTGCATCTTCCGCAGCAGCCTTGAGAGCCTTTACATCGTCCTCGTCCCCAAGCTCAATTGCCAGTTGGTGGTGCAGGAAATCCTTGGCGCGATAGTTCCAAATCCGGGATGTACTATTCTGCATCGCACATGAATGACCTGTGCTCTCGAAGTGATGCAAGGCATCGTGACGGTGACCCCGCCCACATGCCACCCAACCACAAACAAGACACGTCCACAAATCACTACAAGAGCCACAGGTATAGCACTTTGACTTTAACGACGCCATTGAAAAACGGCAAAGCGGACACGACTGGCCCACATCTTCTAGATGCTTACTGAAGCATGAAAGGTGAAATACATGTTTGCACAATGTCACAATAAAAGGTTTACTAGAAGCAATTTCTTGACAAATAGAGCAGAAGTCCTCCATTGGTGTAAGCAGCACTGAATGCGCCAAGTGACTTCCACCCTGTTGCTCTAAATTCCGCCACGCCATACTGCCCGGACAGCCGCCCTGCAAGTGGGTAGAGGCGGACGCTGCACCCCCGTGCATCACACTACACAACTCCTCCAAATCAATGTTTTCCTCCTCCAATCCTCCATGTTGCTTCCCCTCAATGCCAACACCGTCATAACCGGCATCCGTCTCAATATACGAGCTCTTCACCTTGGCCATCCCACAAACATGCTCCGACGAAGTGGGCGAGCTTCCCGTCAAGTTTGCATGCAGGAGCTTATTCTTGACACGTTTCGCATCTCTGGCGGTGTCAAACTGCAGCAACAGGCAGTAATTCTGCTCCTCCTCTGGCGTGTACCCAACACGAACCACACCAATACACCCATCCGCGGAGCGACTTCCCGGGCCGGAGCTGCCGCACGCACCATCTCCCCTACCACCTCGAGTCGTCGATGAAGAGACTGAAACACACAAATTAAGACACTGTAGCGCCTGCAGTAGCGTTACATCAATGGGAATGGAACGCACAAGCAGCCATCGTGTCGGTTTTACACGCTCGTAGAAAAGCTCAACCACAGCCACCTTTTCCTTATCAAATAGCACCAATACAGACACATCCACATTTGACATCGTCAGTGCCGTTCCTGTGACTAATAAGCGGCAGGAAAAAAAAAAAAAAGAGTCAAACCCAAAAGAAGAGAAGCAATAAATTTAAAAAAATTCACGCAACAGGAACCACCAACCACACTCAAAATGCAGCCGTACCGCGTCACAACCACGCACAGCAAGGATGTGGAAACAATCACATTAATGTTCTCTTGAAAACCACAAAAAAAGTAAAAAACAAAAGTAAAAAGATAAAAAATCAGAGGACGGAGAACCCCAAACACCAACTTTCTACCGCGAGGACACCTGCTGGAGCTTCGGGTTCCACATGAAGCCAAAACTCACGGTGCGGTGCGTCAACTGCTTGTAGACATGCGCAATGATTGGCAGACGCGACTCCACGCGTTTGCGATCACGCGAGTCGAGGAACACCTTCATCACCTTGGTGCCGTCCGTGCGGCAGCGCCAGCGGCGGCCCATAACGTCGCACGGGTAGATCAGGTCATTCAATATGTTCTCGAACACCGCCACACTCGTGCGGGAGCGCTGCACCTTCTGCAGCTTGTAGACGTCCTTCGGGCGCTTCGTGATTTTGCGCTGCGCCACAAGCACCACAATGCTGCCGGGAAAGCGCTTCTCGAGCTCCGCCGTCAGTGTGCGCTGGATCTTGCGCACCAGCATCAGGAACCGCAGCGGGTAGAAGACCACCGTGGCCGTCCGCCTGAAGCGCGGGCTCGACAGTGTGCGGACGGTGTTGATGTGAAATCGCGGCAGCTGCGTGCGGAGTGTCTTGTGAGTCGCCTCCAGCTCAAAGAGTGCCTTGGCAACGCTATCCTCATCCTCCGAAGGGTTCGGCCGCTTGAGCTTGCGGAGCTTGCGCAGGTGTGGCTTAACAGACATCCTTCCTCCTTTGCGTGTTGCGGCCATTTCATCAGCCAAAAGAAAAAAAGAAAAAAGAAAAAAAAAGGCATAAAACGCAATCACGCACAGCCAACGCCACGCCAAGTCCAAGTGAGGCACACAGAACTGATATGCGCTCTGCTGCCCACAGTTTCAAAGAAGAAGATCTTTTTAGGCGGCTTAAAAAATCATTCTGCAGGGCAAGAAAGAAAAGCAAAAAAAGTAAAAAAAACCATAAATGGTTCTTCCATGGCATCTTTTACTTCACTTCGGCCAACTTTCTACCGCGAGGACACCTGCTGGAGCTTCGGGTTCCACATGAAGCCAAAACTCACGGTGCGGTGCGTCAACTGCTTGTAGACATGCGCAATGATTGGCAGACGCGACTCCACGCGTTTGCGATCACGCGAGTCGAGGAACACCTTCATCACCTTGGTGCCGTCCGTGCGGCAGCGCCAGCGGCGGCCCATAACGTCGCACGGGTAGATCAGGTCATTCAATATGTTCTCGAACACCGCCACACTCGTGCGGGAGCGCTGCACCTTCTGCAGCTTGTAGACGTCCTTCGGGCGCTTCGTGATTTTGCGCTGCGCCACAAGCACCACAATGCTGCCGGGAAAGCGCTTCTCGAGCTCCGCCGTCAGTGTGCGCTGGATCTTGCGCACCAGCATCAGGAACCGCAGCGGGTAGAAGACCACCGTGGCCGTCCGCCTGAAGCGCGGGCTCGACAGTGTGCGGACGGTGTTGATGTGAAATCGCGGCAGCTGCGTGCGGAGTGTCTTGTGAGTCGCCTCCAGCTCAAAGAGTGCCTTGGCAACGCTATCCTCATCCTCCGAAGGGTTCGGCCGCTTGAGCTTGCGGAGCTTGCGCAGGTGTGGCTTAACAGACATCCCGTTCCAGTGAAGAAGTGCCTTTTCGTGTCATACGCACACGCACACGCACACACACAAAAAAAAAAAAAAAAGAACACAAAGCAAAAAGAAAGTGAGAAGCATCTGGATAAAAGCGGAGACCTTGGCTTCCCTCCAGCCGCCACTGTCGCTGGCCCACAGTATTGGCCGTTCAAACGTACCAAATACGCATATAAATACGTATATATTGTCAGGGCAAAAGTAAAAAGAAACCCAACGCACCAAAAAAATCTGGAGAAAAACAAAAAAAAAAAAAAAGAAAAGAGAGAGAAACGCAACCCACAAAAAGATCGCACGCAGCAACATTGTCTGTTTTGTGTTTTTCCGCACACTCCCACCTACAGCGCCCATATATAGGAGCATACGGCCCCGTGCGAAAAGAACACGAATAAAGCCAAATCACAAAGAAGGTAAAAGAACAAACAAAAAAAAAAAATTGCCTACAGCAAATTGTGAAGAAGGCAGTAGGCGTAGCGGTAAAGTGGGTCGACGTATGGCAGCTGCAGCACCGTGAAGATATCCTTTTCACTGCGCAATTCAACCCTCATGAGTTTACCTGAAGATCGCTGATACAGCCCGTCATGCGTCAGCTCATACTGTCTCGCATGTGCCAACAGCATGAGATGCGTCAAAAACGATTTGGGGCCGGTAAAAAAAAGGCGCCTCACCTGAAAACTCTGCGGCGAAGACCACAAAAGCATCAACTCCTGTTCCGTCTCCCCCCTGCGAGAAGAAGGCTCGGGCCCGCAGTCTCGAGGCGTGCGAGCAAGGCACACGCACCGCGCCAAAACGGCTCCGCAAACCCACATATTTTTCTTCGCGACACACCGAATGTAGCCGCTATTCGCAAGGCCCTTCAAGGCACGTTCAAAAAGAATCCGTTCCCTCTGTTCTTCGTCATTGGCGGTGGCGTCGTGACAACTGTTCCGAGCTGTAATTGTCAGCAAAAACATTGCCCGGGTGCTAACGGGGCACCCACACCGCATCTTCCCAATCAGCGCCACACGGAATCCATGCGGTCCAAGTAGATGCTCCAGCGAGCGCTGGTGGTCCACCGCATCGTCATAGTAAACAGGCACTTTGCGTCTGCCGCGGAAACAGAGATCTCTCCCTCGTTGCTGGTCCATGCGCTCATACACAACATGACGCGCAGCCACGTTGCGCCAAGGCGTTTGTGCAAAAACCCGGCGTGAGGGACGCTGAGCACCAAACGGCGCGCACGCATCTGGGAGTTGTGCGATGTGCCTCGCCAATTTCAGATACTCCTGTCTATCACCTGGCGTAAAGTGTTGACGACTCAATGCGGCATGCAGCAGCAACTCCTGCA